CGATAGGCAGATAGTCGCTGGGGACTCGCCTATTAAATACACTAGCCCCCAGATTGAAGGAGTTCCACTAAGTATTGTAAACGAGAAATAGTGTCTTCCCGCAAATGCAGAACCTGCCTTGGTAAATATATAGGGCTAGGTCCATCAAACGGGAAGGTTATGAGTGTACAGCCGGATAGAAATGACCCCAACAGCATGGTGGGTGGCTATTGTCGAGCTGGTGTGGGGGCTAGCCAGACTACTACTTACTTGGGTAGTCATAGCCAGACTAAGTAGTCGGGAGTATACCAGTTCAGTTAGTATAGCTTTTAATTGTATGTGACTGAGCTGGACTACTTAGTAAGCATAACTTGCCTAGAACACAACTCCATAATATAAACTCATCTTTCCTCACCAAACAGAAAGAAAAAGCTCCTCAGCTGCCTCTCTCTCGATCTCCAAACAGTATAGCGTCACCGCAGTAAACCTCAGTGGTTTGGGCAGCATTTTTCTGCAGGAGCTTGAGCACAGCACCCCTTCGCCTGCTTCACCTTTCTTTTCACTTGATCCCGTTCTTAATAGGCACTGGTGCCCAAGTCCTGCTTGCTCTCCTTGTCCTCCTCACTACCTTCGTTCTCTTATATTTTCACTAGGACTATGGCACCTATTGCGATAGCCCCATTCCTTGCTTACAATCTCCCACTTTCACAAAATCATTGGTCTGGAAGCCCAACGCCAGTACAAGAGCAAACATCTGCAGGTGCAGCAGGAAGCACGAGAAGCTACACTCCCAAGTATTATTCTGAAGATCACCGAAGCCGTGACCAAGAGTTAGAAGCACAGTTCAAATCAGAACTTACTGCACTGAGAAAAAGGTACAAGGAAGACATTTGGACACGGTTGTGGGCATTGAGCAGAAAGTTCCGTGAGCAGTTTGACCAGACTTTTGTTGACGAGGAAGGTGCTCTGAAGCTATCCCTGGACAAGGTTATAAGGGGAAATATTCGAGATAACTTTCTCGGTCTCAGGCACGACCTTATCGAAGCATATAAAGTCAATAAGCAACTGATTCCAGCTGAACTTGGTATTGAATACGAGCGTGAGGAACAGCTGCTCCGTGACAAGTTTTACGACCTCTCGAACAATATCAAGAAGGAGGCCAAGTCCCAATTTCACTTAGAGATTTTTGATACAATATTGATTCTTGAGCCACCGAGTGAAACCCCACCAGCGGGTCAAGGTTCTTTGGGCTCGATAATTGAAGAAGCTGCAGTGCCCGAGCAAAAAGTAGAAGCAGCTGTGGAAGGGCCTGCCCCACAGGAGGGACCTTGCCGAGCACAAGAGATCACAAGACAGGAAAACCTAGAGGAAACAAATCTGTTAGCTGAACCACCAGCTACTGAAGAACTGGTTCAAAAGGCAGCATCAGTAAATTCAAAGGCTTCATTTGGTGCTGCCTCAAAGCGGTCATCATCATCTGCAAGATTAAGGAGGTCGGATCAGGGAAGCACACATTCTAGTGTTCGCCTGCAAGAGACGCCATTGTTCACCAAAACCCCTGTGAATCTCACTGTGTCCGCCCAGGAGTTGGCACCCCCATTGAATCCAGACCCTGTTCCTGTGAAGAGAAATTTCTGGGGAAAGATTATTGGTGTAAGTAGGCGTCTTTTGTTCTGAGTGCATTTCACATATTAATGTGGGGTCATCGTTTTAGTAGGCCGAAAGCTTTCCGCTCCAGTGGCTCAATTTGATATTACATGCTCAGTTCCATGGTCATCTCTTGTGTATTTCTTATTCCTTACATCGTTACAAGCCCATCTGTACAGAATATCCTGATATAAAAGGTGTATTGTAGGCCTCATTGCCTTCACCATTACAGGATTACATTCGATAACACAATGCAAGGACAATATCATATTCAACATCTTACTCCCCAACTTTATCGCCTTTTCAAGCGCCCACCACGCCCTGTTGCCTATTTTCCAACCTTAATCTCGCCCCAAGCACCGGCACTGCATTTCTCCACGTCACTTCCTCCTTCAGAAGGAGCACGCCCTGTCTATGATGCTTTCCAAACAGATAGTATTCATGCGTACCTGGAGCATCAAGGGGGCACCCCTACTCCCACGTCAGAAAATTCCCTACTATCCCTACTCCCATTTTCTCCTCTACCTCACATGTGCGTCCTGCAAGTCCTTACCAACCTCCATGGAGTGGCACATCACATAGGCGGTACCAGTCCCAATCTCTCAAATCCCTCGCTGACTTTTATCTCCATGGAGAGCTACCCCAGCAAACAACAAGAGCTGCAAGAGGCAGCTTGCCTGAGAACATCACAGAGGAGAGAAAGAGATAGCAACAGAATGGGACTAATTTCTGAACGTAGAGTAGATGGCGGAGATGGAGCCAAAGGTAGTATTACTATCGAGCCTGCAACGAAGAAGACATTCTCGGGAATTGAGAAAAAAAAGGAAAGGAATTAAAGCACCAGATAAGTGGAGAGGTTCGAAAACTAGCGGGTGGAAACAAAAAGACCGAAAAAGTGGAATCAGGTTCCAAGTCTTTTCTTCTCCGTATAGAAAGGAAAGACCTAGAAGATCCAGAAAAGGTTCAGGGTAACGGATCACGAGATCGAGGGGATCTGGATACCTCTACCGGAAAAAAGCGCCACAGAGACAGTGTTAGCATAGTTGATAGCAGGCAGGAAGGCAGGAAGAGCGATGCCATTGACTCGAAAAGATACTGAAACCATGACAATTGATGATGTGAAGGGAAAGGGGTCAGGTAGACGGTTCAGTCTTGACGCAACTCTTACGGGCAAGAACCCTATTCAGAAGCCAGCACTATCACAATCTCAGCAGGTCAAAGGATATAAATCGGGTGAGCCTGGTAGGAACTTTCGCATCCTGGACAGAACCCGACACATTCCCTGCAAATAGTTATAGCTGCTCGGACCCGATGCCCGAAACCTGTACCTGGTAACCTGTCAACATTTCATCCAGTGCCAGGCATTGAGGGAAAGCCCTCGAGTCACCGTATAAATGATTTCACTCTTCCGAAGCTGTCAGATAAAAACCATTGTCAAAATTTTTGAATCCAGATCCTGCTCCTCCAAATGAGCCTACATAATATAACTGGGGTGGCAATAGCCGACTTCAAGCCAATCGACGAAGTGACCTCCAGATCATAGCGCGGAATCCTCTCCTATTAAGCCGACCGTGGCAGAGGCAAGGACAGTTACACTTACACAGGTGACTTACGGGCCGGGTATGAATGAAAACCTTACTGTGAAAACTCCAACTCCCTCAGCTTTGGACTTCTGGGCGGAAGCGGACAGTACCCTCTCGTCGCCTTATGAACAATATCACTCTCATGGAAATTCATTTTAGACTGAAGCGGATAAGGCAGTTACACTTCCTCCTTGGAAGCGGGAGAGGCCATTGTTGGAAGAATTGACTGCTGGACTACCCGGAGTTAGGGATGGAGCTAGTGACTCGAAGGTTTCTGGGGCTGGAAATAAGCTGAAGAAAAAGAAGGACAATCCTAAGGTTAGAGTGTTGACGGTTGTGAACGGTAAGGCGGAGGATGACGATAAGATCTTATTGACGAGGGTGGAAATCAGATGTCTATGGCAAGTGATCAAGCTCCTATCATTCCAGCCGTTAAGGTTTTTGCTCTCGAATCCACAAACAAATCTCTCGGCTTTAGAAGATTTTCCACGCTCTTTCCAACCAGGGAGACTGGAAATTTATCAGAGGCATCGCAGGAGGCGTGCTCCACACTCCAACAGTGTTGAGAGGGGTCTACGAATAAAACTTTGACACTCATTAGTCATGCGCGGGCAGAAAATAGCAAGATTGAGGAAGACCTGAATACTCTGCTAGACCTTCCATTACCTACCGAGAAGCTTTACCGACCAACAAATGTTAGCAGTAGGCTGGACACTCTGGAGAAGTATTTGGATGAGCAGGGTGCAGCTGTCGAGACTGTTTTGAAGCGGATGTTATGGATTGTGGATAGCATGGTGTTGTAAAAGAAAAGGAAGGCGGGCAAAGGGAGAGAAGGGCAGAGGAAATGGGATCGGTTGACGAAGTCTGAGAATTTTACTTTGTTTCCGTGTGTGCCCTATTACGTTTGTTGATTCTGTTAGAGGTGACTAAACTCTGGTCTTGTCCCATTTTTGAACCAATCCCGCATTGTTCTGGGCATGAAATGAGAACTGATGGTATTGAATAATATAGATCACTTCTCGCCTTTCCACAAAAACTATGCTTGATTGCTACGCTTCGGGCTTCTGTATCATGCATGTTTAGCCTAGTGACTGCTGCCACTTAACTAACAAATTTATACTCTCGAATTGTGAGATCCAACATACTTTAGGAAATGCAACCAAAACAATGTAATACGAAGGCATATAATCTATAGTTATATTCACCCAATCAAACCAATTACATAGCGCCCAGCTGTCTTCGTATTTAAGGTGAATCTAAAGAAAATATTTCAACCTACTGTATGAACTGGGCCAATGGCACTTCAGGGTAATCGTGATTTTTACGCCCCAGATCCCAGCAGGTGAATATGGGAAATGATGAAATCAACGAGGCAGACTTGATACATAGCAAAACTGTTTTTAGGAAGATAGCTGCCGAATTCAAAGTTGTGTAAAACTACTTAATGATTAACATTGCTTGTTATCTCATAGAGACTGCTATAGATAGTTACTACATAGGGTAATACGGGTTGATAGACTAAGATTTTCCTGGGCTTGGGAAGATAAATCGCTCTTGCCGTTGTTATCAGGCCTCGCGCGTGACTCCGGTTTCACCGTCTTATAAGGTGGTTTCGCTATCATTCGCGGTCACCACTTTCGGTAGGTTTTTGTCCCAAATCCAATGGTGGGGATAACTAAGGGCTAGTATACATTGATGAAGGAGATGAGCCTTCTCTTTGAAGTTGGCGAAGACGGCCCGAAAGATGTTAACCCCATTATAATTATCATTTGCAAGTATTCAACATACTAATCCGCACTGGTGTAACGGCTAGCATACCGAGCTTTCATATGTGAGCTCCTCGGAGACCGGGGTTCGACTCCCCGGTGCGGAATTACTCTTTTTACTTTCTTTTGGTGTGGAGATGATATATGAATTATGGATTATATTGGTTTGAGATAGCTAAATGACTATAAATTGATAGATACTCTTTATTTACAAATATTGAGTGAGATGGCGCGAAAACGTTTTGGGGGTATGTACCAGGCTTAACCCCACCACCTCCACACAAACTCACCAAATACCCTCACATCATCCCAAGTACCATCGCCCCTAGCTAGACTCATCCTTACCACCCCTACCGGTCTCCCATCTACCACACAGGCCTCTTCTCCCATCATAACATCCGTTTTTATTCACATTCCTTTGAATCCACAACGCCACTATACCCTCCCGGATTGCAGTTTCCCTCGACGCGGATATGTTTAATTTGTGCTGCCGCACGTTCTCGATTTCGACGAATCCAATGTATCGTGCATGGGGGTCTTTGAGGTTGAAACTCAGTATTGGGCCCTGCTGTGTGGAGTCGAGGAATTCCCGGGTGCATGCCAAATATTTTATAGGCTTTATCATGAGGAGGGTTGCGGCGTCGAGTTGTGTGAAGTAACTAGTCCCATGAAGGCTTTTGGTGGTGGTGTCGCCTGGTATCTAACCAGGACTCAACATTTTCATCCTTTTCCAAAAAATTCCCATTCTTCAGCTAAATCCCTAACACCAACTAGACTCGTATGGACATCTCTATGGTATCGATAAATAAATCCTCTCCCTTTCCTCTTTTCCCGTCCCTGCTGCCCCGTTGAATGCATCTGCGACCACTTTTATTGCCGCCGTGGCATTTGCTACGAACACAATGTCCCATTCCGAATCGTATGCGTTGAACAAGGTAAGGCTTTCCCGCGGGTATCATCTCATCTCTTGGCACTGACTTATCTGAACAGTTACATGTGGTCACAAGACTCCTTCGGATATTTTGACATAACCGTAGTCTAATTTTTTGACCCAGTGAAAACTACTTTTCGAGTTTATCCATTCCAAAAAAACGGACAATGTATGTATGGGTACAAAATAGTCTAGTTGGCACAATACCTTCCGAAGGTACAGAAGGACTCCAAAGCAACAGAAAGGTTAAACTTGGGACAGCGGGTGGGGGTGGTGCTGGGAAAGAGGTATATACTGCTGGAGGCGGCATGGGATGCAGTAGGGGAGGACAAGGCGGATCGGGAGAGGTGTATCCTGGTGGCGGAACGGGGAAGTGTTGGTTAGGAAACGTCAGCGCCGTGAAAAGGTTGGGCCAGCTGTAGTATGCGGGGGCACAGTGCATCCATAACGGGTACTCGGAGGAAGTCATAGAGGCGCTAAGGGGACAGGATGCGCTCCTTTTCACCCTGGACCCGGCCGAGGAGCAGATGGCGCATGCGATCCGGGTTGGGGGATTGCCAGTGGTGGATTGCGGGACATGTCACGAACCCCGAGTCTGAGTGGTATCACGGAATCGATGATAACATCACCACCACCGGCCCCGAGGGCCTCAGCAATGCAGAGATACGAGCGAGAAGGGAGTGAGCAGGAATTCATGGACTTTGACGGCGCGAGCTCCGGTTGGTCGCTGACCCCAGGCAGGGGAGCATTGACGTGGTGGATCTGATAACGCCGGAATCTACGCCTGAGCCGCAATCAGGGGGGTGGGATATACGGGAACTGTCGAGGAAGACGGAAGTTTTGATCACACAATTCCTGGATGTACGGGGGCAAGTGGAAGAGCTGGAGGATAAGGTGGACGAGGTAGGAAAGGCAGTGGGGAAAGGAGTGGAGAAAGTGGAACTAATAATGAAGGAAGGTTTAGAAGAGATGCTCAGGATGTTGGCGGGAGCGGAGAAGAAGATGAAGGCGGCGGTGGAGGCTATAACGCCGATCACACAGCATCAGATTGTGCAAGCGGTTCGGGAAACGATGAGGGGAGAGTTGCGGGCAACAAGAGCAGAGTGGGCGGGGATGCTGTAGGCGGCCCTCCAGCGGCAACCGTCCGCACCGCCTGCGTCTCCCTTTCGCATCTTCCTAGAGAACGTGAGCATGCATGCTTCTCTTTCTCCCCCGGCAAAGGCTACTCCGGTTATCGTCAGCCCATCGGTAGCGGCGATTGTGAGGAGATTGAAGGGAGACCAGGGGGTAGTGGACAGCCAGCCGAGTAGAGGTGCAGGCTCTCTTTAAGGGAATGGACGGGATCGACACGCAGGAAGGCAACCTCGGGCCCACCCAGGTGCTGCCATCCCAACTCCCAGGCAGTTTCCCGGCGGAGCCGACCATGGAGCAACCGGTGCTTGTGGTCCCAGCGCTTCCAAAGAGAGCGCCAGTCCAGGTGTCCGTGGTGGCTGTCGTGGCCGGCGAAAGCATTTAACGGTCAAGCGTATGGAAACTGACTTCCACGTATGGGGCTTCATCATTTCTTTGGACAGGGCACGTCTCGTGTGGGCTTGCTCACATTGGTTAGTATGATCTGGACTGGGGCCGATAGGCGGTTAAGTGGCGAACCCACACCGTCCCTCCGGGGGATTGTGCAAGACTGTGTCGGCTCTGGGTCTCCCCAGGTCACGGTATGAGATATGCTCCAGCCTCTGAAACAGGCACGGACTATCTCAAAGTGATGGGAGACTGTGAGTATAGCGAAATGTCACTAAATATGACATGAGGCTAGATGGGGCATTGCGAAAGCAGTGCCTTAGTCTGAGAGGACGGACGCGGCAGTCGGTACCAGCGGTTCACAAGAACTTAGCGAAGGTGCTTAAGGAGCAAACAATGTAGTGTAAGCCGACTAAGGTCGGCGTTCCCGTGTGACAATGTTCATGGACGAGGTCGTACGTGTGATGGGCTGAACACCGTAAGCTGTAATGGCTTGGTGGAATGGCGAAGTTACACAGATGCGTCTACGAACGTCATCGAAGCGCAGTTTGGTACAATTGCCTAGGGATATACACAAGAAGGAGGATTGCCCTTCGGGGTTGGATCCGCTTGCACTTCTAGGGGTTCTCCGAAAGGGAACATATGGCCGCTCTAGCATCTGGGTCGAGAAGAAGAGCCTTCGAGCACCACTCCGCGGAGTGGGAGATCCCCTAACATTGTACACTTCCACTCTCGCGCTCGACACCGTGGAAATAGTTGTGCCAGGTCTGCCGGGGGTACAGGGAGAAAAGGCGCTGGATAGGGCGAGGGCAATCTGTCAAGAGTCAGGGCTGTCGCTAGTAGCAAGGACACCGAAGTGGCTCAGAGGGGAGAGGCGACACCTACCAGGAACTTGCGATTCACGGGGACTTGCGATTCACGGTGAACGGTCAGGGCTACGAGGAAGTACCAGAAGCGCCCCCTACGGTGGTCAGAGATCAAGGATAGTGCGGAGGTGCTATGAATACCAGCGGAAAGGCGTTTGGCCTGGTATCAGGACGTCCTGGGTCACACCATTAATGAGGGATGACCCTCGCAATGGAAAGCGGAGCAGCATCGCCCATCGGAAGCCAGACAATAGGGACCCAAAGGGGTGCTGGAACTGTGGAGTGTTCGGGTATTGCTGGCAGGGAGGAGCAAGAGGTGGTAGAAGAGAGAGTGGAAATAACTGCGGGGGGAAGGAAGGAGATCAAGGGAGGCAAGGAGGGAGCTAGGACAGCAAGTGAAGGAAGCAAAGGCGGTAATGTGGAGCGAGTGGGTGTCAGAAGGAAACAGTGTCTGGGATATAGCCTGGGTTTTACGTAACCCGTTTAGTGCCTCGGGGCCAGACGGAATGTGCTGGAAGCTCCTGAAGAAGAGCCAAGGGATGAACTTGGGGAAGACGGTGTTGGGGGATGTGGGGTAGTATGTGCCAGTGAATCTTTGAATGGACCAACTATGGGAATGGTGGGAGATGAAGATGGTCATGATTCCAAAGCCAGGAAAGGATCATTCGAAGGTTAAAGGGTGGCACTCCATAGTCCTAGTGAATACGGTGGGCAAGCTAGCAGAAAAGATAATTGCAGAGGAATTACAGAAGATACCAGAGCTATGGCACACACGTATTTGTAGGACAGAAAGGGCGAGGGGCAATTGACAGTGTAATGTTGACAGATAAACTGTCAAGGGAAAATCCTGACGGCAAATTATATGGCCGGGATATCAAGTTGGCATTCAATTTCTTGCGGCGGAAAAAGATGGGGGAGATTGTGGTGGGGTACTCGAAGCTACAGAAGTAGGTGGACGTCTTCTTGCAGCCCAGAAATTTTGCAGTAGAGGTAGACAGGAGGTGCATTAGGGAGGCGGGCATGACATAGGGGACGCCGCAGGGGTCGCCTTTGAGTCTCTCCCTGTTTTCGATTTATATGTTAGCGATGATCAGGGAAGCAGAGGAGAAAGTGAGGAAAGAGGGAGGGGGGGGCTCAGGAGGCCGCAGAATCACTGCCACATCACCTTCCTGCCCCTGTCGTATATGGACGATGTCAACTCGATTTATTCGGGAAGGGAGAAGAGGCTAGATAGGGCTCTTGAAGCGGCAGCGGGAGAGTATGGTATGGAGTGGGACAGGAGTAAAGACTTGAAGGAAGCAAAAATGCCACACCTGGAGTTTAATGTGAAATCCAGGAAGCGGCATCAGGCGTACCACACAGCGAAGGGGAGGGCAGCTTGGGAGTTGGTATGGTGGCTAACGTGGCTCCCCCCAAAGCGAAGAAGCAGATCCTGTGTAGCCAATTGCTGCCGATCCTGACATGGAGCGGAGCTTCACGTGGAGCCCTCGGAGGTGATGGGGAGACTGAGTACAGAATGGAGCAGGTGGGTATGCGGGGGATAGAGAGGAAGTGCAAAGAGAAAGATTGAGGATATTACTGGCATTCCGGACCTGGAGACATGAATACTAACGAAGAGAGTCCAATGGGCGGGGTCGGTGTATGGAAGACACCTACTGGAGGATATCTTGAGAGAAATACTGGAGCTGGACGCGGTACTACGCTGGATGTCCCACATGCAGGTGGGTACGTGATTGTGAGGGGTGAACATAGTGGAGCTGGATTCAGAGAGAGTAGATACATGGTCGGATGG